TATTTTAGGTAGGTTGTTTCCTCTGATGGCTAGCGGTGAAAATGTTTGTGAGATTAATTAATGTTCTTTTTGCTGCGCTAAAAAGTCTAAGAAGCCAACAAGCAGAATAAATTGACTGAAGTTATAGCAGAGACGTTTTTACCCGAAAAGAAGACTTATCTGTCTGAGATGAATTATTTATTTTTATTTTTTTTTAAAATAGAATTAGAGTACAACGACTAATAAATAACAAAAATTAATATACAAGATTACAATGAAGATACAAAACTACAATTTATATATTAAAGGATAGAAAACAAAATGGCGAGGGAACCTAATAGAAACCACGGGGCTTGTAAGCTTAGGTTTCCTCTCAAAAAAAAACACCAGATGACTAATTTAGATAAAGTAATTAATGACAAGCTTCATTTAATGACAGAGTTAATAGTTATCGATAATATATGCTTTAAGTTTTTTCCTAAAAGATGCCAATGATGAATAGCCAGAAATTTCAGGTGAAAGAGAATTAAAAAATTTAGGACCTCGATAGAATACGGAGAATTGCCGGATATTTGTTGTACATAATGGTAGACGAAAGGAGTTTGCATGCTTTGTATTGTAACCATGGATTTGGTTTTTTTATTGTGAATATGTTCTCAAATTTTCGAGGGAGAATAGCTTTCTTAAACGAGAACATAAACTGACCTAGATAGAATTATCCGTCTGTGACGAATTTTCCGTCTTTAGACGAATTATCCGTCCGACACGAATTATCCGTGTAACAGGAGTTATCCGTCAATGTTGATTTATCCGTCTAAATCGAATTGTCCGTGCTCTTTCGGCACCGGCCTTTGGAGACGTGTTTTGCAGAGCCTTGTGCAAACGCTCCATGTGCCTTGCAAATTTTTCAACTAGGGTACAGTGGGGCGCCATCCGTTACAGTATTGTCGTTTCATTTAATGTGACTTGCTTTCTGCAGAGGAAATTAGCATGGAATTAGACAGAGAAAGTTCTTCGATGTAGTGAAAGAAGAACGGAGGCTGATGATAAAAGAAAAGTACAGGTCTAGTCTGTCATCATTCGATCAAGGCTTTTCCGTGTTCGTTTGTTTGTTCGTTTTTGTTTTTGATTTTGTTTTTGTCTTTGTTTTTGTTTTTTGTTTTTGTTTTTTTGTCTCCTTAAATGTTTTGATCTGTTTTGTGATGGAGTAAAAAAATATAGATCGTTTTCACTGTCACGCAATAAAAAATTAATCGAAAACCATCCAGTGGAAAAAGCTATGGAATTATGATGTTATAGAAGATAACTAAATAAGCCTCTTCTCCAAGTTTTAGGCCTGTGCGNTGTACCTCCGTGGTACACCAATATGGCGGCCGGAAAATAGTGTTAACATCTGGAACTTACTTTGGCTATCTAGGCGACTGATTATCAGTATTGATCAAACAAGCATTTGCATATGCACTTTTCCTAATGCCTTAACTTCTAAAAAGGCTCAAAATCGTGGGATAAGTATATATTTTCCGACAAACTCGATCATAGCCTTGTGTCACGCACCTCCATAACCCTGAAATTCAAAATGCTCTGATTCCAAACGAAGCACGCTATTGGGCTGTAAAATTGTAAACAGATATAAATATACCGCCTCTTGTGCCTGATGAGGACAAAAACTTTGGTGGCCCTTTCGTTTTGGATTTTAGAAAGTGATGACGTCACGTGAAAACGATCTATTGGACCTCTCCCGGCCCAAATAAGATGGCCTGGTTTATTTACAGCTAGGACTGTTAGAAAGCGTTGTAAGTTAATTTCCCCTCACAAAGGTTTTATCATCCGCATATAGTCATTCGCGTTTTTCCATCCGCATTTTTCTATCCACATTTTGTCATGCGCATTCCATCCGCCATCCGCCGTCTCACTCCATCTGTCCCCGTTTGACAGAGACCCGTTAAAACCACTGGTTGATCTCTAACTAAAGCAAATCTGCAATAGCGCCTGAAGACCTTAGAAGGCTAATTATCAAACTAGCTTGCAGCAAGAAATTTCAGTGAAGTTCGGGAAATGAACATTCATAACATTAATTCTGTTTTAATCCCCTTTTGATCAGATTTGTAGCTGCTTCAATCGAATAGTTATAGTTAAGGATGGATTCAAATTAGTAAAGTCTCAGTCCAAGACGAGCCACTCGTGCCAAGGCACTTTCACTCGTGCCAAGGCACTAAGGGGCGTGCACGACAACGATGATCTCGGACGGATCTGGGAACAAGAATGATGTCAGTCGTCTACCTCGTGAGTCATACGATACGTGTGACCGATTTTCAATTTCCGGGTTGTGTGGATAATGCAAAATACGATCCAGTATTTACCTTGATTATTCCCTTTCTCAAGCAAAACTTGTACAGTTATTCAGTTAGATCTCTGAGGAGAAATCCCATTAAGACCTCGTCGGAGATGAACTCGCAAATAAGCTTGGCAATGGTCCTCATTTTGTGCCTAAGCAACGCGGCTGGGAAAAAGAATGTTACGTTAGGTATGTTGACGTTAGAGGACTTACAATTTGAGTAGAAGCACTAGATCCATTTCGAGTAAGAATTTACCATTCTAGTTTACAGTCTTCAAATCATTATATCCTACTGAGCTACTTTCTCTACCAAAGCGAGGGCTCTGGAAACGTCACTGGTTTGAAATTCGAAACTGATCGTGCTCGTAGTCCGATCTAAAGATCTCTCCCAAGATCTGATGTCTGTACATTTCGGGTTTTGTTGTTATGTGTGCATTTAAACGAGTACATGCAATGTGATGTGTGGCTTTAAAACACTTGAAAGAAAGCATTGCATTTTGTGCCATTTAGATGTACGAATACATAATATTCTATAGGAAGCTATATCTTTGTGTATCTTTAAAGAAAGACAGTAACTGCTTCCTCGCTATTGTAATTGTAGTTTAATGTCGCGTGTTTTATAAAAACCAAGTGCGTTACTACCCTTTTTATACTGTTAAGAGCATGCAAATGTAACCTTATTGATATTTTATATCGAGACAAGTCAATTTATGACCGTTCATATGCAATGCACGTGTCACGCAACCTGCCGTGACGAGATCTCACGAGTACTGCTCCTTGAACTTTAATATAAACAACCGAAGATGAATTCCATCAAGCGACACGGCGTTAAAAAAAATAAATGAACGTGAACGGCTAAACTTGTGTAGCGCTAAAATTGTGGCAGTGAATCTAGTGTTCTAAAAAGTTAAAGGTTTTTGGGCCGCTTATGGCTGTTATCCTTGATCATATATTTGAACTACAGAGAAAGATATGAAGACATGATTGATCATCACAGTTATACACACAACATAAGCAGTAGTGAAATTAAAGCCTGAAAAAAATTCAGGCCTGAACGGGATTCGAACCCATGACCTCTGCGATACCAGTGCAGTGCTCTGCCAACTGAACTATCATGCCACTGGGAGCTGGTCACTTAGTGAGTTTGAAACATACCCATAGATGGTGAAGAATGCAAGTGAATATATGAAAGATCATATAATTATTTGAACTGCAGGGTAATATATGAAGACATGGTTGATCATCGCAGTTATACACACAACATAAGCAGTAGTGAAATTAAC